CACTTTACTCCTAGAGGCCATAGCCAGACCACTTTGAAATCAAGCCGACTCCGTGAGCAAATTGAAAAATTCCCGAGCCGGATCTGGACCCGTAATCCTGAAATTTTGGATTCCCTAGTTTTCATCACTGCGATTGTTTTCAGCGATTTTTAACGTGCTTTTTTACGACGAATTTTTTGCATAATAACAATTTTTATAACTTGGAAATAAATTTGGGAATAATCAAAATTAATTGCGAAATCTAGCGAAAGTCACCCATGAAAAAAAAATAATTGTATGGAAAGTAAAGAAAAGACCTACGTACATCAAATTGTCTTTACATTAAGTCGTGGTAGAAGAATTATCGTTGAGTTTTTAAAAGGTAAACTTAAATATTAATGCAATACTTAAATGCAGCGATCAATTTTGAGTTCTTCTACAGTTTATTGTTGTCTATCGCATCTACTCCTCTCTTACCTATTGTGATGAAGACTTAGTCATGAGCCCTCCACCGAAGCTAGCTTAAATGCTGTCCGATAGGGCGGCTTTTAAGCTAGTTACTATATAAATCTATTTTTTTACTAAGCAGCAAAAACGATTACTTTAATTTTCGTTTTGTTGACAGAAAGCGGTGACTTACAATTTTACCATCAAATGAAATACCATAATTAACCTGAGTAATGAGGATACGTACTCCACACTATATATCCCTAATCTATTTAAAAAGTAGAAAAGAAATTGCCTACTGTTTGCAGTTAATACTGAAGTATCTTGGAAAATTAGCGTTTTTTTTTTTTTGTTGTTTTTTTGTTTTTTGGTGGGGGGTACAAGGCTTTGTACGACATCCTTTTCAATGAGAGCAACATTGATAACCGCATAGAGTAATACACTGAGACGAGGTGATTTATAAGGCAGTGTCTGAAAATATAATGATTGCTTTAAGATTTGTTGCTGATCAAAATAAGTCATTTAGCATTATTCTTAATAACAAACAACTATTAAATTTGGTGTTTCTAAGCACCGGGGACTTACAATAACACCTGATTTGTCCAGGTAAATTTTAGGTAAGAAAAAAAAATAAATAAAAGCAGTTTCCTGCGGGTAATTACTAAGTTTAGCATGAGGTCATAAGAGTTCAGTACTTGAGAACTGCACTCACTATAGGTTAGTAATGGCCTGCTAGATTAGTTCCATTAATCGTTAACCGGTAGGATGACATTCGGAGTATGTGTTCTGTGATTAGATTAGAAGCAGTGCAAATATTCAGACACGAAAAATGCAAGGTAATTTTCAAGGTTTATTTTAAGAAGTAGCAACTTCATGCTGAGAAATTTAATAATGCTATATTTGATAATAAAAAAATGTGATTTGTATCTTATTATTCTTTACATTTGCAGGTACTTATTTTTATACGTTAAAATTTATTAAATTTAATATTTTATCTTAGTTCATTTGTAATTTTCTTTGAAGTTTAGCAATTTTGAGATATTTTTTTCTTGGAACTAAATAAATAGTAAAGTTGCTGAAAATCTTCTCATTAGTCTAAGAAAAGATGCTAAACTGCCTGCTGGAAGATATTAATTCTTTGACTATGTTTTTGTTGGGAGCAACAAATTACACAGCACTTATTTAGATTAACTGCGTTACTTAAAATGATTACTTCACTACTTACGCAAATGAAAAAAAAACTGTCTTAGCAAAAATATAAGCGACAGCTGGCTATAAAACGGTAGCAGTGATTATTTACGGCAAATTTGTTTAAATAATGCACTAACTCTTGTTTGCGCCATGTGGCAATAATGGTAAGACGATGCGCTAAAATAAGTAACCAAGTAATCGTTTTACGTTCACTGAATATCGGTGCCTTAATTTCAACTTTTTTCTATAAGAGTTTCTCATTCTCTGGTCGCCAGAGAGCAGCGTGAATTGCATAAAGCATTAGTCTCCTGTGAAACTCGAATCCACATTCATTCTCCAATTATTTATTTTGTTGAGTGTTGTCCATTGACGTAAGAATTTATTTAAAAAAAAAATAGCTTTAGAAAAAAATAAAACAAAAAATTTACACAAAAAATCTTCATTAAAAAGAACATTTAAAAAAAAAGCTTTCATTGTTCTAAATTCTGCTATGAATTGGTCACCAGTAACTTGTAAGGAAATATAATTGTAGAAAAATCTATTCAAGATGTTTGTGCATAATTTTATTGAAAATGCTTCAGGTTAGTTGCAACACTGGTGAAGGATGGTTATTGGCGCAACCAGTGGGACTGGCGTGCCGAGTTCAAATTCCAGTCGAGGCCGTTGCGTTCGCTTTCACACAAATACATCTTTTTCCCCTACCATCCTAGCATAGGGTTAATAGACGAGCTGACTGTTTTCTAGCTTTGGTTGGCGACCAGTCTCTGAATTCAAAACCTACTGAACATGGATATAGTAAGTAAATCCACCTCATATAAAACGACATGCAACAGAAATCACAGCAGCAATGCCTATCGTGATGGGGCTGTGACCCTATACCCAACAGGTGTGTATGAAGAACTTATATACATACATATTTATATACATACAATACTGCTGCATTTTATTCCAAAATAATTATCAATAGTATTCAAATCAATAGTAATGCAAAATAATTACCCAATTACTTAATTAATTAGTTTTAAATAAATAACTTGTAGATAATTTTGTACACAATTTAACGCCTTGTACTGGTCATATATTCCTCGTTTTTTTGTTCTTACAAGATTTCTATGTTATTTATTTATATTTTTTGGGGTGGTGCTGAAAAACATCAAAGTACAACTTTTTCTTTACAGAGAAAGAGAGAGACAGAGACAGAGTGAAAAAAGAGGAAAGGTTTACTGTATATTTAAAAAATATTTTCACACTTGAATTATAAATTTTACGGAATTGGAGATATGAAATTTCGTTTTGCAATCAACAGTAGGTTTATACTACACAAATAATATATATATATAGACAGTTGTTACTGTGAGTCGCTGTTAACAAAACAAAACATGACAATTTTAAAGGAAATAAATTCTGAAACCGGAAACTCTAAAATAATAATAATAATAATAATAATAGCACACTGAACACAGTCATACCATATTTGGTCAAAAGTCATCAGACGCAAACGCCGATCAAATCTTTTCGGTAGTTTTTGTTTCATTTTTTTTTTATAAATTAAAATTCATTTAATTTCTTTCTATGCGTTTCTTATGCAAAGAAAAAAATGCAAATTATTTTTTTTTTTTAACTTTTTCTGTGTTCACGAATTTCCTTTCTTTATGATTTTTTAAAAACATTTTTCCAGTGTTGTTCCTTACCCCATCCAGTATGGAATCCTTGAATCTTGTTTTTCAATGCTGCGTGCGTGAAAACATCTTCGTGTGCGAGCGTCACATTCTGTTTTTATTCATGCAGTGAAGTGAAGAGTCCAGGGTGTGCACAGGGAGGCGATTCGGGGTCGGTGAGTGCCAAGGTAGTGAATATGGATCAGATGACACGGGTGAAGTGAAGGGAATTATGCAGAAATCAATAAATAAAAAGGAAAAGAAGCGATGGGTAAGGAAGTGAGCAAATTTACGTGTTTGTATAAATGTGAGTATATCTTTTGTTTGTGTGTGTGCGTGTGCAATCGAAAGTTATGATGGAAATGGAATTATATACAGAAATTATAAGAAAGGAACATGTTATTTGCTGGGCCCTAACGCCCCACCACCCCAAATTGTCTGACCAGTACTACTTCCGAAGCCCTCTACCTGAAGTGCTTTATGACCCTCTCTATCTTATCAACATTTACTTTTTTCTACCTTCATTTATATACGCTACAAGTTAAACTAAGTACAACTGACTATTAAAGGATGAAAAAATTTGCGGATTTTGATGTCAGTCTGGGGTCTTTTTTTGTCCAAATCCATGAATTCGTTTTGCTTATGCTAAGTCTTGAAAAAACACTATATAAAATTCACTATTTTTATCCGTGATGTTGGATGTGTTAAAATTAACAAGAAAAATATGAAGTTGATGTTAAAAATTGCCACAAAACATTGCTGATTTATATAAGATAGAATGATCTATTGACATGTTTCTAATTTGTATTTAAAGATGCATTGTTTTTATTTTCAATTTTTCTAGCTGAATTGTTCACGTGTATTGTATGTGATCCATTACTGTACATAATTAAGTTACAATAAAATTTGTATTATTATATGTATACTACTTTATGAAAATTAAGATATAGTAAAGTGGGAGGCGTATCATAGATTCTTCGTATCATAAATTCGGTGGTGGGGGCCAATGAGACCCTTGTACCAGACCTGGATTTGACCTTTGAATCCTTTTAATTTATAATTCACATATTTCAGAGACAAAATATCTAAAATCAGAAAATAAAATAAAAATCTTTTCATTCTCTACATGCGGACAGGTAAAATATTTTTATAACAATTTTACTTATATATATATATATGTGTTTACATATAAAAATATGGAAAAATATATACGTGGTTTATTTGTCATCGAATATTTGAAATAATGAAAGAAACTGATAAAAAAAATAATGCAAGAGGCGGACTTTTAACATAAATTGTATTAATGCTTATGCAATTAATGTTGTTACGGTGTCTTTTGCCCTTACTAGCTCAACAGGCATGAACCGAGACAAATTTAATCAATTTCGGATTTGAATTTCTTAATTTAATGTGATATTCACTTTCTTTCACCCTAGAAATAATTATTTAAGCTTTTTCCAATTCATAAGAAAATATTTAGTAGAGGCATTTGCTTTATATAATATATATATATATATATATATATATATATATATATAATATGTGTGTGTGTGTGTGTGTGTGTGTGTGTAGCCTTTCTTATTTTATACGAAGTTCAGTCTATCAAAGTTATTAAAAATGATCGACTTTCAATTGTCAAAATACGACTTAAACAGGACTTTTAACCCCCCCCCCCAGTTGTCAAACTCCATTTCCATTGCAATGTGCAGAGTAAGCGAATGTAACTTAGAAGCAGGGAAAATGAGCGAGAGAAAAAGAGAGAGAGAAAAAGAGAGAGAGACGGAAAGAGAAAGAAAGAAAAAGAAAGAAAGAAAAGGAAAAAGAATGGAGTTCTTTTTGACCGGAAGGTTCGAAGAAGGGAATTTCAGAAAAATCTGGGAAAGATCCCAATCGATACAGCCAAACATCACACGGTAGGCCTTGATTTGATGCCGATATCGAATTTTGCTGTAATGAGAAGAGAGCTTGTCAGATGATATGAATCAATGAAAGTACAAAGAAAGGATCAAATGAAAGATACAATGTTCTAGTGATCAAAGGTGGGGGAGGTTACAACTGAAAAAAAAAGACTACCACACAAAAAACAAGGGAAAAAAATAAAATAAAATCAATTTACTGAAAAACATAGCATGCTTTAAATTAAACACAGAATTAGCAAGTGTGTAAATTTTAAAAATGCAAGGGAAATAACTAAGGTCTGTTTATGCAAGTGATGCCCCTTTAATTATTAAATGCTGGTCATCTGATTTCATTTTACGATATGTTCTAGTTTCGGGTTTGAATAATGAGTGCGTGTGTGTGTGTGTGTGTGTGTGTGTGTGTGTGTGTGTGTGTGTGCACGAATGCTTTAAAGATAAACAAATTTTTAAGTCATATTGCATTTTAAAATAAGACATTAATTTCTGAAAAAATACATAATTTGTATAATGTATTTATTTTTATATATTTTTTTATTTTGTTTTTATTTCACACACACATACACACACATATATATATATAAAGTAAATATACCTATTATTTATACTATTGTCCTTGTCTTTGTCGCCATATTCACGATGTTTTGGCCATTTTACGCTCTGTGGCTATATAGCTCTTTGGTATATGGTTTGCAATAATTATTCAAATCATATACGGAAGTGCTATATAACCACAGATACGCCAATAAAGAATCAAACCACCACCACCACAAAATTCTAGATAATTTACATAAATAAGTCCAAATTACATTATTTACCAACACCCGCAAGAAGGAAATATTTGAAAATAATAAAATTAAATATATAAAGGCTTTAGAACTAAGCAATCACAAAGTAAATTTAGAGTATTCAGAAAAAGAAGGTAAAAATAAACAGATAAATTATATGGTTCAATCCACCTTTTAATCGTAATGTTAAAACTAAAACCGGGAGATTTTTCTTAAATTTAATCCATTTCTAACAAAAATAATGTTAAAATCGGCTAAAGCTGCGATAACATACATAAAACCATATCCCAGTATAACAACATTATATTAAACAAATATATTTCCAACAAAGACAACGTAATTATTTTTAATACTAATGCAACCGCTGAAAAAAATATGATCTGTCCCTTAAACTTTTATGACTGATAATTTGTATACCGAGCGAGCACACATTCCGGTAACGATGCTAAGTTTTATTTTGGTTCCACTGAAAATCCTTGGAAATTTCGTTTTTACCATCATCGAATGACCTCAGGTAATATAAAATACAAAAACAGCACTGCTTTCTCCAAATATTTCTGGCATTTAAAGAATGAAGGCATCTCACGATCAATCAAGATTAATTTTTAATATAAAAGTTACGGTTTATTTTTTAGTTATATAGTTTGTTTATATATATATATATATATATATATAGATATAGATATATAGATAGATAGATAGATAGATAGATAGATAGATAGATAGATAGATGGATAAAGAGAGAGAGAGAGATCCCCTTTAATAATGAAAAAATTTAAGTTCACAACTCTAAAAAATTCTTATTTTCTAACACATATATATACAAATCCCGTTTATTTTAAATGTCAAATATGATTTTTAAAATTAAAAAGCTCTAAACCAAGTATAATATAGATCTAGGCCAACATTACGATAAACAGATATATTTTTAAAATTTTAATTATACTCGGCACCTGAAGATTGCGTTGTGCAGGAAACTCCTAGTCGTGCTATCGGTGAGGGGTAACATGTATATTTATTAATATATACATGATAGCTCTGTTGTATCACATCGAACGCTGTTTTTTAACACCAGTACTATATATATATATATATATATATATATATATATATATATATATATATATATATATATATATATACAATATATATATGTACTATATGTACAATATATATATATATATATATATATGTACAATATATATATATATAAACCCTTTATTCTACATTCAACACTATCACTTGATAAGACGCCAGAAGTGTTGAAATAAAATGGCTATTTTTGTAGTGATTTTATAACATGTAGTACATGTTATAATATGTCATTAAATGTTGCAATCAAAATGTTTAGGGACCTATTACGTTGGATCTGCTAACAATGTTATACTGAGGGTCCTATTAGATTAGCTGGTTGAACTGTAGATGATAATGGGCTTCGTCGAGTGGCCGCTGCTGTCAGGTGGGTGGCGATCATGATGATAGTAATAGGGGAAACAGGCACGCGTATAGTAACAAGAAACGAAGGCCTTGTTTGTAAGAAGAGAAATAAGAAGAAATTTGAAATAAAATTAATAATATGACCGAAACTGCAAAATATAGCATACATAAGATTCATCTTATGACTGCCTTGACAACATTACACAGAAGTCGCAATGAGTAGCCATTTAAATACTGCTTTCTCAAATTTTTATATGGGTTATATAAATTTTTATATGGCCCATATAAAAAATCATGTATTCAACAAAATAACTAACGAAACCATATAGATCCGATACATTAGCGATATTTTCATTTTAGCTAAATATATAAAAGATACTAAAAAATTAAAAGAAATATTCGAATGTCAGTTTGAACATTTCTTTTAGTTTTAACTTTATATATTTTAAAGTTCTTAATTTTACATACTAACTAAACATTAATTTTAAAAATATCCCCTTTTTTGAAGTCCATATCAACTTTTATGATCATAATTATATTATCTCCCTATATAAAACCTCTCGAACATGAACCTGTGCCTTCTTAACTACAATAGTAAATACCCTTATTGACATAAAAAACATGTTATCAATATCGAATTATTGAATTAATAGAATCAAATTAATACCTCCTTCTGAAACAATTTTGTATTTAAAAATATCTAAGCAACATTAAACAAAACTAATTAATAATGGTTTTCTAAATTTTATCGTCGACGAACAAATTAAGATTTAAGGATTAGTAACGCTTATAAAAGCACCAACTAACAACAGCATTGATTTATAATATGATATTCAGATACAAACTACAAACAAGATGAAATCGCTATAATATATATATATATATATATATATATATATATATATATATAATCCATTGACGCATAAAACCCACAGATATTAATAAACATCTATGAACATTATCTATTACAGACATATTATAACTCTGATTTTTTCAGCAGACACACACATACACACACACACACACACACACACACACACACACACACACAGATGGGATGTCTTTACGTTTCAACTATTAATTTTAGAATATACATACCTGCAAAAAGAAGCATTTCAAACATTAGATATTTATACACAACAATATGACACATTTTTTACCTGTTAATAAATGTTAAGTTATTAAATATATTTCATGGTTAGTAGCTATTAATAGCACAAAAAAGCAAGCAGCAAACACAAAAATGTTACTAATTTCTAATGAACAAAACGAATAATTTAGAGAGTGCAAATAAATGCATGAGAAATAAAACAAAAATTTTTAAAAGTGCATCGACATCCGAGAAGAAAATGTTGATGAAAATGATCAACAAAGCAGTTAGTAGGCGCTGAGGCACGGGGCTTTTTGGGAGATATCGTATATATCAGTTGAATGTTTATCGAGGTAAAATTTAACAGGGTTGGGTGAGAGAAATTAATTCATTGAGTAGAGCATTGACACACGTGGGTGAAAAGAGTGTAAATACGAAGTACAATTTTTGTTAATCTTTGCATCCACATTTTTGTTTATACATACTGTGTGTGTTTGTGTGCGTGTTTTTATGCACGCGTCTTTGTTTCTGTGTGAATACGTGTATATATATATATATATATATATATATATATATATATATATATATATATATATATATATACACGAAGGAGTATTAAAAAGTTATCTGTCCGAACAAGAAGTTTTTCAAAAAAAAAAAAAAAATCTGAAGCCGTCCTTTTCGGTCGAGACGTTGATTTTACTCTACCAGATCTATTTGAGCAAGTAAGGTAATTCTAGGAGAGTGGTTTCACCTAGCACTTATTCCATCAGTGACGAGGCATTTTCTCAAGATATAAAAGTTATATATATATATATATATATATATATATATATATATATATATATCCCCGGAAAATCCGGTTGAGTTCTCTTGTCATTTAAAAAAACAGTGGCTCATACCGCTATTAACGCATTGCTCTTCAACCGAATTGAATTGAGCTCTCCCGGCCAGTGACGTATATCGTGTAAAAAAACGTTAAAATTTCGCCTCCTCTCTGCCGTGCGACGATAGCCGAGGGGAAGAATCCCTGACTGATACCAAATTGGGTTTCGATCTCGGCTTGAAGCAATCGGACGTCTAGCCACACTGGAGAGCGAAAAGGTCTGTCTGTAGATGACAATATATATATATATATATATATATATATATATATATATATATATATTAATATATTATAAATTAATTGATATATATATATATATATATATATATATATATATATATATATATATATATAAATTAATTGATTGAAAAAAATATTTTTTTTTCGCTCACAGTTCTAACCATGTTTCAAAAATGGAAGCTAAACGTTCCGAATTTAATTTTGTAATTAAATTAAAGACATTAGTTCCATTTCATTGAGCACTATTTTGTAAAAATAAAATATCTATAAGAACACCGGATTATATATCTTACTGTTATTTCTTTTATATATATATATATATATATATATATATATATATATATATATATGAATTTATGGATGTATCCATTCCAACATCTATGCATATAGGTCTGTCTGTGGATGACAATATATATATATATATATATATATATATATATATATATATAATTTATGGATGTACTCATTTCAACATCTATGCATTCACAGGAAACAGCATTGGATATTGAAGGTCGTACCAGTAAGAAATGCATTATTTGAACAGCAATGACACAGACTACTATCTATCAGGGTGGCTCAAGGTACCGTCC